GTGTGTGTGTGTGTGTGTGTGTGTGTGTGTGTGTGTGTGTGTGTGTGTGTGTGTGGGGGTGTGTGTGTGAGTGTGTGTGTGTGTGTGTGTGTGTGTGTGTGTGTGTGTGTGTGAGTGTGTATGTGTGGAGTGACAAACATCAGCAGCGCTCACTAACTCCTAGCGTTTCAGGTCACACGTTATGATTTGAAATCTCTCTCCCTGGTCCGACTTTCCCCTCGGCTTCCCGTCCGGTTCGCATTCTCACTCCTCGTTTGGTTCCAGGACATGTGATGATGATGATGATGATGATGATGTAAACAGAACGACAGACGGATATCTCGGATCTTTATCCACAGGCTGTAAGATCAGGACTTTCTGTGTAAATTAAAGTGTCACTGAGGGGCAGTAATGGACAAACCCTTTGTACTATATTCAAGCGGTCTTATGTATGATTATAAAAAACAAAGTTGCTTAACTTGTACCTGGTCTTCTCTCATTTCTTCATGTCAAGTTCTTCGGTGTCTGAATCACGAGCCATGAAAATCCCCTCATCGTGCACTCGAGTGCTCTTCAGCTGTCTGAAGCTCAGGTCTGTGGCCTCCATTAATGCACAGGTCACACGCATGAGCGTGAAGGATCATGGGAAATGAGTGAATGAACATGCATGAAATCTCTGGTCTCAGATGAGGTTAGTCATACTCCACGAGTGTAACCACACAGAACACTGCTAACAGCCGCAATAGTGAATAAAACATCAGAACAACCAAACATTCAGGACTGTAAGCACCAAAGACTGACGGATGATTAGAAATGGCCAGTGTTTGTGTTTGTTGTTTGGACGAGTCAGTTTTTAGGTTACTCTCAATGTCAAAATGATTGAGATGCTCGAGCTAAAGGCCGGCTTTTTCATTAGTTCTTTTAATGGCCTTTCCTTTTCATTAATAGCATTAATTCAGTAAAATGCCATTACTACCCAGAGCTCCACACATGTTGCGGTTCTGCTCATCTGTGGTGAACTTGAAGGTAGTTTTGCAGCTCTTCACAAACTTCAGTGACTGTTTGCCATTATACTAATAAACCTGCGTGACTCCGGCCTTTATAAAGGATTACAATTACTGAGAGCTTGTATGAAAAATATGAGATGACAACTGAACCTACAATATAGCTGCTGATATATTGGACAAGCAGTATGCTAACAAGCGCTTTCTGTAAGTTTAATTTACAGTTATGAGTTTGGTTCCCTGGGAATCGAACACGTGACCTTAGCGTTGCCGGCGCCATGATCTGTTTGAGCTTCTGCTGGTAGTTTTAGACATAATAAAAGCATAATTTTTGCTTTTTACATGCAAAATAATAAGACTGTTGCATGCTTATGAATTTTTCAGTTTTATAATGGCCCACATCATAGTAGGAATGAAACTACTTTATATTATTGTATTTTCTATAGCTGATTATTTGATTTTGTAAATGAGGGAAAAAATTCAAAATTAGCGGTATTTTTAAATTAGAATGAATGATGAATTCTGTGGCGCATTTCCCGCTGAAGCAAGAGTGAGTGAAAAACCGTTAAAACCGTTAAACTGGCAGGAGCGCGCGCTTCTCTTGCTTCAGACCACATTATGTAAAATGCGAAATAACATAAATTTGTGACGTCTGAGGAAATACTGATCCGTATGAATCATGTAAGTGACATTTATTTAATTCGGCAAATTAGTCAAGAAATAAAATAGTCTAGGCTTCTGTTTCATGCTCATTCTCTGTCCATCTTTTCTTTCCCGTAACCTTACTGTCTTGATTTGCGTTGAAGGAATAGTTCCGTCAGTGTGCTTCAATGAAACATTCTTCTAAAGAGCTTCTTTATGCGTGTAAATGAACTCTGACCTGTAAGTAATGTTAAAATAGAAAACCAGTAAATAAGAAAAAATGCATTGTTTACGTTTCTTTAGGATATGAACCATATTCAAAAGGACGCTTTCTACCTGTTTGTTTTAGCTAATCTAAGGAAATTGTTTTCTGTATGCCGTTTATAATCACAAACTAAACTCAGGGAAGTAAGTGACGTCACTGTTCGGCCAGAATCGCCGCCAAGTCGTGCGTCTTCGGAAGCGGAAGTTACAATAAAGAAAAGCCGTGGCCACCTCGGTGACGTCATTTCTGTCGCGCGCCCCACTGTTCACACTATCCATCCTAAATAGTGAGAGTAGAATAAGCGCGTCCCAAAGCATAGTATGTTGAAAAGAGTATGCGAAAAGTCATAGACATAATAAATACCTAGACTCCTCCGAAAAAATCAATCAAATCAACAAGTGAGACAAGTGTGAGCTTTCATAATTTTCCAAACCTAACTAAATAACTGGAGGCAGAGTTATTTTTAACTCCATGTAGATCACAAACCTCTGAAATCGGTTGATAAATGTAAACGTTACCGTGTTTTTATCCAGAAAAAACCGCAGCTCCTCCGTTTACCTCCATTTATTTTTAAGGCAGTCTTGCCCTCGCAAACATGGCGGACGCGTTGACGTATCGCAGCAACGGCTCAAAGCGGCCAATGAGGCGTCTAGGTATTTATATGCGAAAAGTCCCCGGATGGTCTACTATTTCGGGTTGATTTTTGAAGTGTGGATCCGTGCACACTCTGATGACTAATATTGCCCACAATCCATTGCGCTTTGGCGAAGGATTCGCTTCAGAACTACAAACACGAATAAAAAGCGTTAAAAACTACAACCATGGCGGATGTGCGCGACCGACGGTTAAGAAGAGGGGTTTAGATAAAGGGGTTTGAGTTACTAATAATCAACATTTAATTTAACCTGGTAAAAAATATTCATTAAATATTATCTGTGTCATATTTCATCAGCAACAATTATGAGAACTTTTATAAGCATCCGTTTGGACATTAATTTTATTATTCAAAAAATATCAATATCAGATCAACGTGCTACTTTTCTCTCCGATACGGTAGGAAGTTAAATAAAATAAAATATGGAGGATATAAACTGTGACAAGATGATTGACAGGCCAGTTTACAAAACACGGCGTAGTATAAGTAGTCACCGGCTTAATCCGAGGCGCCTGTGATTGGTCCGTTCTGGACAGCGCTGAGAAAAGTAACCGGTATCACGTGACATCTCTGTGCTTAATTATTATGACACTGACAAGCTTCCTCAGATATCCAACCGACACGAGACGGAGAGTATGAATAGCTAGGAGAGTATTTATTTTTTCTATATAATTTTTTTTCGAGATATATATATATATATATATATATATATATATATATATATTGACGTCGGTGACGGAACGGGAAGAGGCGGAGTCTGCAGCTCGAACACGGAAGAGAAGAAGACAGCAGGTCGTGACCGAGCTCCGGGGACTCATGGGCTCCACAGCAGTCGCTCCGTGCGCTGAAAGATGCTCATCACGCTGTGCTACATCTACCTGTGGCTGCGCTTCCAGAGACACTACACGGCCGTGATCCGCACCGCGTTACAATGAGAGTGTGTGTGTCTATGAGAGTGTGTGTGTGAGTGTGTCTATGAGAGAGTGTGTGTGTGAGTGTCTAAGAGAGTGTGTGTGTGTGTCAGAGAGAGAGTGTGTGTGTGTGTGTGTGTGTCTATGAGAGTGTGTGTGTGAGTGTCTAAGAGAGTGTGAGTGTGTGTGTGTGTCAAGTCAAGTCACCTTTATTTATATAGCGCTTTTAACAATACAGATTGTGTCAAAGCAACTGAACAGCATT